ATTATTGCTGGCCACTGGCGCTTGCCGCCGAACTATCGCCCCATTCTTCACCGCCCACCAAACCACCCCAACCCAGCCCGAAGGCCCCAATTTGCCTTCCATTTCCAGTTGGGGGGGGTCGGGGAACGTTGAGAAAACACACATGAAGCCCGTGCCCCCCCCAACCCGAAATTCGGGTCTTCGGTTTGGGTTGGGGTGGTTTGGTAGGTAGTCACATTCTCGGCGCCCTACCTTTCATCGCGAGTCTCAGGGCGTCTGCCCGCCCCCCCTCCGAGGCAACTCGGTCGCTGGTGCTATAGACATCGGGGGCCCCGCCGCGCGATGGCCGGCGGCAGTGCGTTGGGGGCGCCGTCGGGGGCTAGAGCTATGACAGGTGGTTGGCGCCCGTTGGGGAAGGTCTGGAAGGTGTGCCGGGGCATCTGCAGTGGTTGATGTCGGAAGTGCGGGTCTGTGGTCTTTCAGTGGCGAAGTCTGAGGGGAGGAGGCTGGGCTGCCGTGCCGCGACGTGTTCTAGGCCAGGCTAGAACTGTTTGCGCCGACATGCGCGTCGCCGCTCTTAGCGACGCGCAGATTCGACAGGACTGGGCGCTCGTCCAGTGAGGGCCGGGCTCGCGGTGCCGGGGGCGAAGCGGCTTCCACCTTCGGGGCCCGCTGCGTTGGGTGAGCAGGTCCGCGTCCGAGAGCATGGGCCAATGCTCGGACCCGCTGGTTCCCCAGGGCTCGGCGACTTTCCGCCGGGCTAGTTGCGCCGAGAGTTTTTGGTTGACATGGGGGCTTGCAAACGAGTTCTGGAATGACCCCCCCCCCCCGGCCCCGATGCAGGGCGCGACTTTCTGCGTTTCGACCTGGGGGCCCCGCGAGCGGCTGCGCGCGCTCCGAACGGCGAGAGACGGCCATCTTTTTGCGACGTGCTGGACGACGTGACAGATGCAATTCCGGAAGTATTCGCACGCGAGCTTGCGGGCCCTGAATCATGCGAGCGTTGCGCTCTGACGTGTTCGCGTTGCTGACGGCTTGCGGGTCGTCGAGCTCGGCGACGTGCGTTGCCGTTCGCAGTTCCGAGCGGCGTGATCATCAATCAGTGTTCGGATTGTTGCGCTATGCAGAGTAGCCGAGATGGCGCGCCACATATTTGCGCGTCTTCAGCGTCGATGGCGAGTGGGTCTGAGCGCGATGGAATGGCCCCTCGAGAACATCGACGACCTCGCTTGCCCCCCTCCCCAACTGCTTCGTGGCCCGCTGATATTTGGCGCCCCAGTGCGAGCGCAGTCGCGCGGGGCGTTTGCCGAGACCGCCGCCGCGACTTCAGCGTGCCCGCCGCCCCGCGGGTGCCGGGCGCAGGTGCCCGATCTTTCGCGGCTGGTGTCGACGGCGAGGGGTGGGCGGCCCGGCTACCTGGAGGCGATGGGGCGCGCCTGCCACGGTGCGAAGCAGCAGATTCCAGCGCGCGCCGCGAAGCTGGCGACCCTGATCACCGTGCAATTTTGGTGCGCACCTGGCAGGGCAGGGACGTGGGCAGCGCGATGTTTTACGCGTTCGTTTTCGCGAGCGACGGTCCGATCGCCACGGCGCCCCGGCAAAATGGGCGCGAACGCGTCTCGGGCTCGCCCCCCCGCCCGGGTGCGCGCGATGGGCGGGCTTCTAGCGGCGGCGAAGGAATTTGCGTTGCGGCAAACCCTAGCAGACAACGTAGATGGTCTTCTCAGGGGCTACGACAGATGCGCCGTCGGGCAGCAGTGCGAGCTGGCGCTCTACTGCAGGGGCGACTGCGTGAACGAGAAAGAATAGTTTCGCGGTCGCAGCCAGGGCCCCCCAATGCCGCGCGCTTGCCCCAGGCGCTGCTGGCGACCGCGGCGAGACGCGAGTGCGGGAAAACGCCGTCCGTCCGCGTGGGGCGCGAGTTGCAGGAGTGGGTGGACCAGCTCTTTCAATCATCATAATTTCAGATTGCCCCACCGCGGTCGCCTTTGCCTCGGCGGCTTCAGCTGCACCGATCGGTGGCGCATGTGTAGAGACGGCCAGGCAGTGCGCATGGTCAGGCGGGTCGGGCGGCGGGTCTCGCAGGAGACAGCTGTGGAGAAGTGGTCGGGCGGGTCTGGCGCAGCTGCCTGTGCTCCCGACGACCTCTCGACCGCGTCGACCGCGACCGTGCCCAAGTGTTAGGACGGGAGGGCATCGGGTGAGGCCGACCGTGCGCCTGTCTCGTTTTTTTCCGCCTCGACATCCCTCGCCACCCGTGTGTGGCCTGCGGCTGCGCGCCAATTTTTGAGCGAGTCGAAATGTGTACCCAGGAAGTGCTGATTGCGGTTTCGAGCGCCCGAGTCCTACAATTGGTTATAGCGTGGCTGAGAGATGGAACGAGAACGTGATCGCACCGCTTATTTATCTTGCGACTTTTCCATGCGTTGTAGGTCGTGGGCCTCAGTCTTGGACCCCCTCGGGTCCGTCGGCTGCGAGACCACCACGTGGATTTTTCCGGCGCCGTTGATATGGCAGGGACATTGTTCCGTGGTGAGTTGTTCCTTGCCGCGCTCGTTTTGAGGCAAGTTTTTTGACATCCTGTACGCGGCGCCAGTGTTGTGAATGAGTGAATAACCATAACCATTCCCGTTTCTCCTCCTCTTCCTCCTCCTCTTCATTCCCCTTCCTCCTCACTGCTCGTCCTCCTCTTCATTTCTTTTCCGCCAACTCCTCCAATGTGCGCCGTTCCCCTCTAGGAGTGCGAATGAGACAATGGGTTTTTTGGTGGGTTCCAGGTCTTCCATGACACCCGTCGGCAGACGTTTTCAAAACAGCGCAGTGGGAAACTATGGGTGGGGGGGGGGGGTCGAATGTCAGATATGGCACGAGTGCGACTAGCTTGTCCTCCCCCTCCTTCCTCCTGGCTAGGCCAACCCTGGGCCCAGAGCTTGGCCAGGTCCATCTTGGGCCCATCGTTTGGTTGCTCTTGTTTTCGCCCCTGTGGGTTTCCTGAGGGGCTTTCGTCGCCACCAGAGCCAGATTCGTTTCGAACTTTTGGTGAGAGCGCGCCCGGGGAGAGGTCCGAGGAGCCGCGGTGTCTCCTTCCGCCTTGAAAACTCACGACGCCGATGTTTGAGCACTCTTCGATTTCTGGAGGGTCTCGCCATGCAAAAGGGGGGCGGCAGAAAACGGCTCAGGGTGACCATCCGGCTCCGGGGCATCGGTCCAGGCCTCGGGGTCCACGTCGTGAATAAGTTCTGGGCGCCAGAGTTCTGGATCTTTCGTCTTTCCCTCCTTCTTCTTCGTCGCCCTCCTCGTCGCCTCGTGTGTGGGCAGTTCTTGTGCGGTGGAGTCCCCTTCCCATCAGTCGGGGACCTGGCAGTTCTCGTGCCATAGGCGCGTGCACAAATGTACATGCGGGAACGCGTCGGGGGTGGACAGAACCCCCAACAGTGACACGTGGATTAGTGAATTGTCCGTTTTCGGTTCTCGAGAAGGCGCCGTTGCCGTTATTTTCCAGGCTTGCGCCCGCCAGGTTTGGGCCTCCTGTCGTTTTCACTAAACCACGTTTTACTAAAGGGGGGTCTGTCCATCCCCGAACGCGTTTCGTCGACGGCTGCCTGGAACAACTCCCTGGACACGTCGGAACCGGCCCCTCTTTCGCATGTGAAGCGCCCAGAGAAACGCCTCTCTGTAAAGGGGGGGGGGAGGTCCGACGTGTCCACGCCTGGAGCACCGACCTCTCTTCTCAGACACCAGCCCTCTCAAAGCTGCACCCCCCCTCCACCCCTGGGGGGGATTCAGGCCGCCCTCCCCCTCCCCCTAATGGAATCCCATTTGGGTTCGATCAAGCTCTAGCATCGTCCTATAATATATGTGTCAAGGGTTAATAGCACCCGCTTCGTGCTCGATTCAACTTTAATGGAGTATTATATTTGTATCCAGCTGTATTTGAATCCTACTAAAGCTCGATCCATCTCCGATTAACTCGAGTATAGCTGAATCCAACTAGAACAGCATCTTCGTCGGGTTCGATCCAAACCTGACATGATCCTTTTCCAGCTGGATGCGGCTGTTTTTGAATCCTTCTAAGGCTCGATCCAGCTTTTGCTTTGCACTGCTTTTCGTTGCCTTGCGTCGAATTGCGTTGTGTTGTATTTATTTCCATTGTTTTGCATTGCTAGCGTCTTGCCAGCGCACTGCCAGCACATTGCGCTTGCATTGCGACGCTCTGCGCTGATTTGCATTGCTTCGCATTGCTTTGCGTTACTATGCATTTCGTTTCATTGACTTGCATTGCGTTGCATCGCGTTGCATTGCGTTGCGTTGCATTTCTTTTCATTGTTTGCATTGCATACCTTCGCGTACGTTTGCATTGTTCTCCATTTCTTTACATTACTATCGCATTGCTTTTCATTGCTTTGTATTGCATTGCGTTGCGTTGCTTTACGTTGCTTTGTATTTCGTAGCATTGCTTTGCAGTGCTTAGAATTGCTTTGCATTGCGTTGTATTGCTTGGCATTGCTTTGCAGTGCTGCATTGCTTTACACTGTTTTTCTTTTCTTTGTGCCACATCCAATGCACTACGTGCATTGCACCACCCAGATTGCACCACCTTGACTGCGCAACCTGAACTGCAGTGCATTCATTGCAAGCCATCATTTTTTGGGGTCCACGCTTGCTAACACATATACTTTTACGTAAACCTATAGAGAGACGTTAAACATCTGTATACCCACATATTTGAATTTGTGTTCATGGATATACACATGCCTTCCTGCCTGAACCAGGAGGGCATAAGAAACGACCCTGTTTCAAGGATGGAACTGGCCAGGATCGGTGCAGGTGTGCAGCTGCCGCCCTCCCACGCCCGCCTCGCCCCGCTGCCGCGGCCCTGGCCGCGGACTGACGAAATGCCATTCGAAATGCAGAGCACGCAGAACTCCCAGGCGCAGGCGCTCGAGCTTGACTGGCGCGGCTCCCAGGCGCCGGCGCCGGACGCGAAGCCAGCGCCGCTGTCGGAGGCCTCGTACGAGGATCGGTGGTGTTCAGGACGCATGTTAGCCCAGGGTGTGTGTGCGCGTGTGTGTGTGTGTGTGATGCAGCCAAGGCAATGCCGCCAGAAGGTGCGAACCAAGTGACAACGGGCTGTACAAAAAGGGCACGCAGGCCAGGAGCTACACGCTCAGCGCTAACAAGCGCATGCCAGTCCAGGCGCCAGGGTCGTGTTGGGCCTGCACGGCCGCGCCAGCCCTCTTGAGGTTGGGCCAGGGGCCTCGCCTCGGGACAGGTCGGGCCCAGACGGCCACGCCTGCCCTCTTGGGGCCGTGCCCCTTCCCTTGGCCGACGGGTGCGCTTAGGGGGCAGACGGCCGCCAGGGGGGGGGGACCGTACGCCGCCCGAAAGGGAAGGGGGCCGAGGGGCAGGGCATGCCACGCCTTGAGGTGGATCGTGATTGGGAGCAACTGCTCAGGCCCCGCCGAAGCGGACCCCCGCCACGCGGACAGGGGGTTGCACGCACCGCACGGCCTCACCTCAAAGCGCGACCCCCCCCCCCCAGCGCGGAAGACCCCCCAAGGGACGGACAGCCCCCCAGGCGTCCCCCCACTCACAAGCACCCCCACGCGGCTGCAAGGGACCCCTTTTTTAGGGCACGGTGGTATTTCTCCAGGGGTCATTCCCGCACTTGGCCTTGCCGCGCTTGGACAGCGCACAGTCTGAACAGCCAAGCTCAACCGAGGCCCCCCACCGCGGGAGGAGCATGTGTATGTGTGCTTGACCTCATCGTCTTCCTGCATGCTTGTATCCTTGCCAATCGGCGTCTTCACGTGCACGATACGCTTCTGCGCCTTTTTCTGCATGCGATTGCCTACTCAGTCTATCCAACTGCTACGCTATGTGGAGTTCGACTAAGCGTGCCTTGGCTTAGTACCCTCGACGGTGCCGCTACCTCAGTTTGCTGTTTGTTGTTGTTACTGGTGTGGTGGTGATTGTTGTTGTTGCTGTTGTTGGTGTTGTTGGTGTTGATCTTGCTGTTGAACTCACTACTGAGGAATAATTATTGTTGATCCCCCCTCCAATGCACACTGATTTTTCAATTGAAGTGCCCCTCCCGGCGCTCGCACACAGTTTTTTTATCAGGGGAAGTTTTCCTCCTGAAACTGTGCCCCTGCCCCCCGGTTTACAACAACAGCGGCTCCCGCTTGATACTTCCTCTAAATTTATTCCGGTCCCCAGCTCCCGCTTGAGACTTCTTCGCAATTTACTCAAGAATAGCGCTCCCATCTGAGACTTCTCGCAATTAACTCAGGCGCCTCGCTCTTGCCATTCAGGAATCGCGCGTTCGCTGGGGATTTCTTTACATTTTCTTAGGAATCGCTCTCTCGCTGGAAACTTTCTGGCTAATCATGCAGAACTCACGAAGAAATATATACCCACCAGAGGTGGTATGATCGAAGACGAAGAGGGCGGGTATCGAGGGTTCGGGAAATGCACTTTGAATGGCGCTCGAGCAGGTAAGAGAGAATAGTGTTAACATGATTGTTGTTGCTGTTGAAGTCTCACTTCTGAAGAATACTTTGTTGACCCCCCCTCACTGGTGCATATTTTTCTCTCAATCAAAGTGTGTCCTTCGACGCTCGCACCCTGTCTTTTAACAGGGAAAGACTTGGTGCTCAAACTGTGCCCCTGGCCCCCCGGATTACAAGAACGACGGCTCCCGCCTGAGATTTCTTCCAAATTTACTCAGGACCCCCGCTCTTGAAACTTCTTCACAATTCACTCAGGATCGGTGCTCCCGCCTGTGACTTCCTCGCAATTTAGTCAAGACCCCCGCTCCCATCTGAGACTTCCTCGCAATTGAATGAAGACTTCCTCGCAATTTTATCAAGACCCCCGCTCCCGCCAGAGAGCCCTTCACATGTTATTCAGCTATTGCGCTCTCGCCTGTGACTTCCATGCAATTTATTCAGAAATCGCGCTTTCGACGCCCAGGAAACACGTTGCGCCAAGGACGCCGTTACAACTTACTGAGTAATCGCGCTCTCGCCACATTCAAGCATCCCGATTGAATGTCCCACCCGCCCGACCCGCCCGTCAGGGGATCGCCCGCCCGTCGTGGGCTCCCGCCCGAGACTTCAGGAACGGCGATTTCGCTTAGGACTTCCTTGAACGTTCACGCTCTTACCTTCCTGCTCCTCCTCTCTCTCCCTCCTCCCTCCTCCCTCCTCTCCTCCCTTCTCTCTCCCTCCTCTCTTCCCTAATCCTTCTGCTTCTCTGCCCTATCCCATCTCCCTCCTCTCCCTCATTCCTTCTCCCTCCCCCCTCTTGCCTCCTCCCCCCCTCTTTATTTTTCTCTCTCTCTCTCTCTCTCTCCCCCCTCTCTCTCTCTTTCTCTACCTCTCTTGCCTTTTTTTTTTTTCTTTCTTTCTCTCTCTCTCTCTCTTTCTCTGCCTCTAATCAGCCGCCCCCCTCTTCGTTCCTTCTCTCCTGACGTTGTCCCTCTTTCTTCGTCCCGCCCCCTCCCTTCCTCCCACTCTCCCTCGTTCTCCCCCTCCTCTTTTTGCAGCGCCCACACCAATTCCAATGGCGGGCACATTTACGCCCACGAAGGAGCGTCCGCCCGTTCAGGTTTGCTCGCCTGTCTAAGCCCGCCGCCCCCCGCAAAGAATATGAATTCCCCCAAAGGGGGTGTGATCGAAAACAGAAAGGGCGGGTATCGAGGGTGTGGGGAACTCGTTTTGAATGACACGCGGGCAAGTACGAGCGAACAGTCTCATACTGATTGTTGTTGTTGCTGCTGCTGCTGTTGTTGTTGTCGTTGTCGTTGTCGTTGTCGTTGTCGTCGTCGTCGTCGTCGTCGTCGTCGTCGTCGTCGTCGTCGTCGTCGTTGTTGTTGTTGTTGTTGTTGTTGTTGAACATTATTACTTCTAAAGAATAATTATTGTTGGGGCCCCTGGTGCGCGACCTCTGCGCCGCGCCTAGGCCGCAGCTACATTTTCATCATTTTTTCGCGAAAGCTTCAGAAAAGTGGATTGGTACCGGATCCGGTTTTTTGTTACGTGGCGTTTTCCCTTGCAAAAAACACTATAAAATGAAAATTCTTCTTCTTACTTGATCAAATTGCAAGAATCCCTTGCAAAAAATAAGGTAAAGTGGACATTCGTGCGCGCAAGACGAAATCCTTCCAAAACCTTAGGTTTCGTAACGATTTTAACATAAAAACATCAAAAACCCAATGGTTTTTTAAGAAAAAATTGTCAAAATGTCCTTCCGCGCGCGCTGTCCGAATCCCACAAAACCAATGGTTTTTCAACATTTATGTTACATGAGCTCGCGCGAGCTACTTTTTCTTGTTCTAACATAATCAAATTTCAATAATCCCTTGCAAAAAATAAGGTAAAGTGGACATTCGCGCGCGCAAGACGAAATCCTTCCAGAACCTTAGGTTTCGTAACGATTTCAACATAAAAACATCAAAAACCCAATGGTTTTTCAAAAAAAAATGTCCAAATTTCATCCCGCGCGCGCTGTCCGACTCCCACAAAACCAATGGTTTTTCAACATTTATGTTACATGAGCTCGCGCGAGCTACTTTTTCTTGTTCTAACATAATCAAATTTCAATACTCCCTTGCAAAAAAAAGTAAAGTGGACATTCGCGCGCGCAAGACCAACAAAAAACACGACGATCTCAGGAACTTGCTCCAAAAATGTGACCAACTCCGCTCTCTCTGTCTCTCTCTCTGTCTGCTCTCTGTCTCTCTCTCTGTCTGTCTGTGTCATGTATTGTATGTCACAATTGCAGGATGCTGGGCACACGCGCGCCCCGAATAAGTGACCAAGTTCTGTGGGTGTGTACCCCACGCCAGTGTAGTAGCCACGGTCGTCCGCACGCCACGAAGTGAAGTGTCCCAACGTCATAGGGCGGGAAGCTGGGTTTGGGTGGTCGCGAAGAGTCGTTTGGATATTTGGTAGAGCTTGAACTGCCCCCCCACGAAGTGGGGGTATTGTCTCGCGTCGCATGAAAACCCTGGCACTGGTGAGAACACTGAGCGTTCGGGTAAAATGATTGTTGTTGTTGTTGTTGTTGTTGTTGTTGTTGTACTGGTTCACTTCCCATTTCTAAAGAGTATCGTAGATCCCCTCTGCACGTGGCACTTTTCAATGAAAATGCTCCTCCTGGAGTTGGCATTTTTTTACCACGGGGAACGGGGGGGGTACCCAATTGGACCCCTGGCAGCCGAGTTACAATAACAGCGAATCCCGCCTGAGACTTATTCACAATATTTTCCAGAATCGCGGTCTCTCGCGGGACGCCCTCACACGTTTTGCAGGAACGCGCCGTTGCGTGGAGTTTCTTCGCAATTGATTCAGACGCCGCGCTTTCGACAGTCAGGAATCGTGTTGTCGCTTTGGCCGCTCTGGCGATTTACCTCGGAATCGCGCTATCGCCCGAGCTCTCCTCGCGATTCATGCGCTAACCACGCTTCAGCAACACGCCTGCTCGACCTGACCGCTTGGGCCCGCCTTCCCGGCCCACCTGTCAGGCTCCACCCACCCGATGGGTCCGTCTGTTTCTGCCACGGGTTGTCAGTTCTTAGCACCCCTGTAATCCCGTGCTCCATCAGTCTCCTTCCCTTCAATCCGTCCTCTCCTCCTCTGTTTCAGGGGTTGCACCAAGTACTCGCGGCAGGTAAAGAAAATCTACCCCCAGAGGGGCTACGATCGAAAACGAAGGGGGCGGATACTGAGGGTTTGGGGTAGGGGTTGAACGGCACGCGAACTGGTATCATCGAGCAGCCTTACAATTCTGGACGTTTCGCGTATCCCCACCAGTTCTGTCCTGGGCGTTCACGCCACGTGTGGTTGGCTCCGCAGACTCAGGCTCGGGCATCTCCCGTGGTGCCCTCCGCCCGTCGTCACTTTGTGTGTCAGCTCCGTGCTCGTGGCCTGGTGCCGGGCCTGTGCTGGGTCAACCTGACGCCACCTCACGCACTGGTTCGTGGTGACCCACGCCATTTTGGCTGCGCCGCGGCTCAGCTGCTTCCCGCACTCGTGCGTTCTGTTGCCTCGGGACCTCTCGGCTACGGCCACCCTGGGAGTTGCAGCGTGCCAGCGCTTCCGCCTCCTGGCGATA